TTTTGAAACGGACTCTGTCGCTCAGGCTGCAGTGCAGCGGTGCGCTCTGGTTCACTGCAGCCTCCGCCTCGCCGGCACAAGCGATCCTCCAGCCTCAGCCTCCCGAGTACCTGGGACTACATGCACCACCATGTTCAGCTTTTTTTTTTTTTTTCTTGAAACGGAGTGTTGTTCTGTCATCAGGCTGGAGCGCAGTGGCGCAATCTCGGCTCACTGCAACCTCGGCCTTCCAGGGGCAAGCGATTCTTCCGCCTCAGCCTCCCAAGTAGCTGGGACTACGGGCACCTGCCACTACACCCCGCTAAGTTTTATGTTTTTAGTAGAGACGCGGTTTCACCATGTTGGCCAGGATGGTCTTGATCTCTTGACCTCGTGATCCTCCCACCTCGGCCCTCCAGACTGTTGGGATTACAGGCGTGAGCCACCACGCCCAGCCAACTTTTGTATATTCTATAAAGATGGGGTCTTGCTAAGTTGCCCAGGCATTAACTGACCCCAAATCACAACCTGGCAGGTCAGGGAGGGCCTCTCCTGCCCAGAGGTAACTGTTCCCAGACTGGATCCCTGGCTGTGAAGTCCCTGAGGCCCCTCCATCTAGGGATTGGAAGCACCAAAGATGTATTTCCTCTTTGGTTTCTAAGGCTACCTGGAATTGGGGATGGTGGTGAGCAGCTGTCTCCCCCTTTCCTGAGAACATAAATCAGAAACGCTCTCTGAGGCCAGCCACGGTGGATCACCTGAGGTTAGGAGTTTGAGACCAGCCTGGCCAATGTGATAAAACCCCCTCTCCAACTGAAAATACAAAAATTAGCCAGGCATGGTGGTACGTGCTTCTAATCCCAGCTACTTGGGAGGCTGAGGCAGAAGAATCACTTGAACCCAGAAGGTGGAGGTGACAGTGAGCTGAGATCATGCCATTGCACTCCAGCCTGAGCTACAGAGCAAGACTTTGTCTCAAAAAAAAAAAAAAGTGGCTCAAAGATAAACTAGATTAAAAGGTTGTCATGGTCTTCACAAAAATAAACTTTTTTTAAAAAAAGAAACTCTCCAGACCCAGCTGCAGGCCACTGCTGCCTGGTTCCCACCTCCTGGGACAAGAACGGGGCCATCCCCTGGCTGATGAGGGAGCCAGGCTTTTCCCACGGGACCTGCCCAACACAGCCTGCGGAGCCATCACAACCATCAGCACTTTGTAGGTGGGGACCTGTGGTTTGAGTTCAGGAACCTTTCCATAGGGTGGGATCCTCAGCAAGCTACTATGCCCTCCGACCTCGCAGCCTCAGAGCAGAAAAGCTTCACAGGGAACCCAGAGGGGTCTGGGGCAGCAGGCCCAGTGAAGGGAGGGACAGACAGGGTGCCATCCCCTGGTATCCAGGCCTTGTGGACCAAGGAGCCATGCCTCCCATGTAGCTGTGTGCATTTCCACAGGGTGTCCTGGGGTCCACCATGTTCCAGACCAGGCCTGGGCCCCAGGGACAGGACACCATCCCTGCAGCTGAGGGACCTCAGGCCAGGGGCAGGGCAGCCAAAGACAGTGGAGTGCGGGAAGAGACCACCTCAGAACCCACTTGCTGGGCAGTCAAGGATAATTCTAGGCCCATGTTGGAGGCCTGAGCAATGTCTGGTAGAGGCCCTGACAGCCCCACCTGCCACCCCCCATACCCACTGGCCTTGGCAGGGATGGACCAGGCCATTAGGTGGAGGGGCTTGGGGGGCAAAGGGAACAGTCTAGGGTGTCCATCCTGCCCCTGGGGTGCCCAGCAGCCGCTGGGATGTCTGCGAAGTCCTGCTAAGGGGTGGGCAATTGCCCACTGGGGCAGACAAACTTTCGCCCCTGAAGCTCTGTGTCTAGGGAGTAGCTACAAAAGTCTCAGCTACTCAGGGACCCCCAGCACTGGCCTGGTGCCAAGGGGAGGCCTCACATCCCATGAATGGATAGAGCCCGACACCTCGGAACCGGTGTCCGTGGATGACGGCAGTGAGGGAAAAAGCGTCAACATGGTCCTGACTCCGTGGACAAGTTGCTAATGACAAGGGAACATGGCTTTGCAGTGGAAAACCCCTCGGGCAGGACCTTGACCAGGTGGTCACGTTGGCATCACCTGGGATAAACAGGTGGGCACGGCATGCTTCCCTAGGTGGTCCCCTGCTGCTGCTGCCACAAGCATGAGTGGAGTCTTGTCGTGATGGTCATCAGCACAGCCAACTAGGGATACTCCTGAGTAACCAGCTCCATCCCTAAAGCACCAGAGGCTTTGGAGACTGGCCCATAACTCATGGGACACACTAGAATGGGGCCAGCGGCTTGGGCGGACATCCGTGCACTAGCCCTGGGTTTGAGCACTGCTCTGGTGGTCTTGTTCTGAGGAAATGCACGCTGCAAATCCTGGGGGCAAAATGGGCAGCTGACTCATGGTGCAGAAAAATATAAAGAATGCGCTGGCCAGGTGCAGTGGCTCACGCTTGTAATCCCAGGACTTTGGGAGGCCAAGGCAGGTGGGTGGCTTGAGCCCAAGAGTCTGGGATCAGCCTGGCCAGCACGGTGTAACTCCAACTCTACTAAAAATGCAAAAATGAGCTGGGCGTGGTGGCAGGCCCCTGTGATCCCAGCTACTTGGTAGGCTGAGGTGGGAGAATCACCTGAGCCCAGGGAGGTTGAGGCTGCAGTGAGCCGAGATTGTGCCACTGCACTCCAGCCTGGGCAACAGAGTGAGACTGTGTCTTAAAAAAAAAAGTACACGCGGCCAGGGTTTGTGAGGGGGTGTGGGTGAGGGGTGCTGGGGAGCACTCTGTGTTATTCTCACAGTATTTAAGTTGGAATCTGTGAAGTACTACAGGACCCTTCTCTGTGGACGGCCCCAACTGTGAAAGGGGAGATGTCTGCTTCTTAGGGTATCCAGAGGGTCCATAAATGGTCCTGGGTAGGCCTTGGAAAAGCTCCGGGCCAAGGCTCTGTCTGGTCAGTGAGGCAGGGGTGGCCAGAGCCCTGGTGGAGGGGATGAGGGACATCCCCAGGGGCAGTGAGGACAGACTGACCTAGGAGGTACAGGCAGCTTCTCTCGGTGGCTGCAAGTGGCTGGGGTGACAGTGTTCCCTTGGCCGGCTGTGGTGCCAAACCTGGCTGGCCCTCGGGATAGGCAATCAGCCCAGTGCCCGGCACAGGGGGTGACAGCTGCCAGGCATGCCCCATGACATGGCCATCAGAGCAGTGGGCTGAGCTGTGTCAAGGGCCTCACCTGTTGGAAGCCCCAGAAGGAGGGGTGGCGACCCAGTGGGGAGCTGGGGGCAAGTGGGAGGCACAGGTGCAGGGGTGGGCTCAGTAGGCAGCTAGAGGGGGAGTGGGGGGTACAGGTGGAGGGTGTGGGGGCAAGATGAGCAGCTAGGGGGGACAAGGGACACAGGTGGGGGTGTTCCAGGCCAGGTGAGCAGCTGGGGGCTGCAGGGGACTGATAGGGGCTGGTGGGCCCTGGGTGCCTCTGAGTCCAGCCTCTGGTTGCCCAGAAGTCCAGGTTGGAGGCCTGTCACTTGGGGCTGGGAACGGGCTGTGGGACCTACCTGGTGGGCCCCCAGCACTGCGGGCGACAGAGACAGTTAGCAGATGTGGCAGACGCAGGCGCTACAGGGCCAGGACCCAGGAGGGCCTCACCCTGCATGGAGCCCACTGACTCTCAGCAGGAGCTGCTTGCCCCACCCCTGGAGGCCTGCACCCCTGCCCTCCGCCCTGCCCCCAGAGCCCTCTGTTGGGGCAAGGCCACAACCCCAGGGTGGGTGGCCCAGGTCCACCTGCCTCCACCGAGGTCCTCAAGGGCCCATCATCAGGGCCTGGAGCAGGAAGCCTGTGTAGACTCCTCAGGGCGGACCCGCGCGAGGCAAGTACCTCCAGTAGTGTCCGCACCCCCACCTGGCGCTTCCCGGGACCCACAGCGCATATGGCGAGGGGAGGGGCCGAGCCTGCGTTCCAAACACAATGCAGGTTTTATTGTCACAGCAGCTGGCAGCTTCCCAGGTGCTGGGTCACCAGGGGGGTCCCAGGCAGTCCTGGTGCTGCCGAGGCAGGCGCTGCCCCCTCCCCGCCCAGCCGGCACCTGTAGGCTCCCCTCCCGAAGGGGACTCGGGCCCGCAGGGAACACCTGCGCCCAGACCATCCAGCAGGCACTTTTGGCCTCAGTGCCATGGCCACCCTCCAGGGTGCTCACAGCCGAAGGCCATTGCCCAGCAGGGCTTTCTCCTTCCCTGGGAGGCCCGTGAGGGGACAAGCAAGATCCAGCTGGGGCATCTTGCAGGGACAGGTACGGCTGGTCGGTGGGCGGGCACTCCACTTCCAGTGAGGCTGCTCCCGCCCCCACAGCAGCCTGGCGATGCCCACAGCCGGCTGACGGCTCCTTCACAAAGCGACCTCTCCAGGGAGCATCAGCAGATAAACCCCACATGGTTCGGGGAGTAAGGACCCCAGCCAGCTGGGGCTGGGGCTGGGGCTGGGGACGGGGCTGGGGACGGGGCTGGGGACGGGGGTCTGTGGCTACTTCTATCCCCCAAACAGGGAACGCTGTTCGGCTGAGGGAGCTGCAGGGTGCCTGGGACTGGGGGGTTCATCCTGGGAGGGTCCCTCCACCCCCCCAGCCAGTGCAGAGCCATTGGGGAGCCCCCAGGGAGACCAGCCAGCCCCTCCACTGGGAGCTGCTGTGGTGAATGGGCCTCTGGACCCGGGTGTGGAGGGTGGGCATGGGGGGGTGCTCTGGACACCTGGGGCTGCTGTGCTCACCAGCATGGTGACTGCAGCAGGCGGGAGGTGGGTCCCAAGCCAGCCAGTCAGTGCTGCCCACCCTACATCTGCTCACCCCCAGTGACCTACAAGGTGGAGCTGTGAGGGCAGGGCCGACCTGTGTTCAGGAGCACCCAGCAGCATGGGGCACGTGCTGCCACTGCAGGCTGCTGGCGCCACCCTGGCAGAGGGGAGGGCTGACGGTGGCTGTGTGGTGGTGATGGGCGAGCCGGCTGCCTCAGTCCTGCTTGTCCGATCTCTGCCCCCAGGGATAGATGAGCTCCCCGGAGAACAGCCTGCGGCACAGGGAGCCCCAGGAGTGCTGGGGGTGGCCGCCACAGCTGGGGAGGCGGTAGGTGTGCACCACGCGGCTGTAGGGCAGTGGGTTTATCTGGAAGGACAAGGCGCGGTCTGCAGAGGGCGGGCGGGGGCTGGCAGTGTGTGCCTGGCTGGCCCTTAGGGTCCCTGGGCTGGACAGTGGCGAGGCAGGCCCAGCGCTGTCCCAGACATTCCCTCGCCTGTGAGACAAGCCTGCCCCAACCCCCAGGTAGGCAGGTGAGTGTGCAGCTGGAAGGGAGCGCTGGGGCTGCAGGGCCAGACGCCCCCACTCCGCTCCCGTGTGCAGGGGCAGGCTGGAGGGAGGCGAGATGGAGGCGGGAGCTGCGCGTCCCCCGGGGCTATCCAGCTCCGAGGGGCTGTTCCACAGGGACACGCGCCTCACCCCAGGACTCACTCAGTCCGTTCTGTTCCACCCAGAACTTGAGCCCTCTGGGGCCCAGGGCAGCCCCAGGCAGGCAAGGGTGCCTCCAACACAGGGCAGAACGGGCCCCACCCACAGGCCCACACTGGCATCCTCAGGCTCCTGCGGGGTATGAGGGTGGGGGTCCCGGGTGGGCCCTGCCCCTCAGCCCACCCTGTAGCTTATTGCAGGCCAGCGTGGTACCACCCAGACCTCACACCCTACTGACCCCACTGTCCCAGAACAGGGGCAACAGCCTGGGGGCTTCCCCCCCACAGGGGGCCTCACCTGCATCAGGAGGCGGAGGGGCCTGCCAGCCTCATGCTCCAGGACACGAAACTTCACACCAGCTGCAGGGACAGCAAGGGGCTAACGAGGGAGGTGCACGGGAGCTGGCTCTGAGCATCAGCAGGGCCTGAGGTGCCTTCCTCTCTGAGGGGCACCCGGGTGCTGCTGCCGTGGCTACCCAGGTGGCTCTCCCTGCCCACTCCCACTCAACTCCTGGAGCTGGCTGGCAGGCCGGCATCAAAGCCTCCTGCAGCAGGGCGCTGCGGCTCACGCCTCTAATCCCAGCACTTTGGGAGGCCAAAGTGGGCGGATCACCTGAGGTTGGGCGATCGAGACCAGCCTGGCCAACATGGTGAAACCCCATGTCTACTAAAAATACAAAAACAAGCTGGGCGTGGTGGCGGGCGCCTGTCATAACACCTACTTGGGAGGCTGAGGCAGGAGAATCGCTTGAATCAGGGAGGCAGAAGTTGCAGTGAGCCAAGATCACATCACCGCACTCTAGCCTGGGAGACACTCAGAGTGACTCCGTCTCAAAAAAATACAAAGGTTGCCCGCAGAGCTCCACTGAAAGACAGAAGCCGAGTGTCCGGCAAGCAGGGAAGAGCCCAGTGAGGGGCAGGCTGTGCTGCTGAGTGCACAGGCACTTGCTGGGGGGCGGCCGCCCTCTGGCTCTTCGTGCCTTCTGACTTCGGTATGCTTGGCTGACTCAGGGCCGTCCACACCCCTGGCCTGCAGTTAGCCTCCCGAGCCCAGGGACTCCCAGCAGAACAGAGGGAGGCCTTGACCTCAGGCAGCTGCGTTTCTGAGCCTGTGTGGCAGGTGGGTCTCTCCCTCCACCTCACTGGAGACAGCTGGTCCTGCAGACCTTTGGGACAGGGAGGCCCTTCCTTGTCACCTACACGCTCACGCACACCACAGCTCCAGGCCAGAGACACAGGGGCCTCTGCAGTCCCTGCTTCTGTGGGGCCCACAGGTGTGGTTCCCATCCGTCCGCCCAGGGCCAGCTGCCCAGTACGCAGCACTTACCCGCCAGCCTGTAGGGCCGGCAGAGCCGAAGACCGAGCGAGTACAGCGGCAGGGAATTGATGAGGTCCACGAGAAGATGGATCAGGCCCTGCACGGCGACCACCAGGAGCCGGAGCTGTGGCAGAGGGACATTTAGGGCCACCCGCCTAGCCCGGCCAGATGTGCCTGAGAGCAGAGCAGCCCGACCCCATCCTGGGCCACAATCAACAGGGACCACAAGCTGCAGGGCCTGGGGAGAGCATGGACCCCACCCAGAGCAGGGCACAGAGCCTGCTGTGGGGCGTCACCCTGGAGCAGAACCAGAGGGCAAGCCGTCAGCCCTCCCACAAGTCAGAGGTGCCTCCCACAGCCTCACACACAGAGGGGATCGAGGCCTGGGCCGCCTGGGTTCCACTTGCCTCCTGCTGTCCACCCCAGCGACAGGCACCGGGGAGGGGGCTGCCTGCATGACCCCACCTGCCGTGGGTCCTCCCACCAAGCACCCAGCGGCGTGTCCCAGGGCAGTGAGGGGGTCTTCCTGGCCAAGCTAGGGCCCAGCACACACTGCCCAGAGGGTCCTGAACAGCCACCCACGCGGCCTGCAGGGGGACCACCCACCCCACAGCTGACTGCTCCCAGCCAGCACTGGCAGGAGCCACAGAGCACTGCGTCCAGGACCGGCGGCTGTGCCACAGCTCACCAGGGTGAACACCAGGTAGTACAGGGCCGTGGTGGGCAGGAGGAAGAGCAGGATGGTGAAGAGCAGAGTCCCGATGAACAGCTGTGGGAGCAGGCACGCCGGGCATTAGCAGGACCCCAGGCCCGGAGACAGCCCGGCACTGTGCCCTCCCCATCCCGGAGCTGCAGTCGGGACCCTGCGGCTTGAGGGAACTTGGGACGGCCTGCCCAGCAGTCTCAGTAGCAGGAAGGCTGTGTCTGTCCACACCCCACGGACTAGGGAACTCGCAGGGGAGGTGGATGGGGGCCAGACCAGCCGAGAGAGTGCGTGGCCACAGAGTGTCACCAAGAACACACCCTAGATGACAGCATCCAGGAGCTGTGTCAGTTGAGAGCAGCAGATGGGACAGCCAGAGCCAGCCTCTGAGCCCGGGTCGCCCCCCATCTCTGTGCCTGGGCACCTCTAGGCCCTGTGGCTGCATCACCCTCAGGGGTCTGTGTCTGGGACCCAGTGCCCCAGGAAGCTCTGCACTGCTTCAGAGCCCCCCGTGCAGCCCACACCACACACTGGGCACATCTTCCCAGGGCCCGCACTGCAGGACGGGAGCAGGCTGCCCCCCTGTGGTGCCCACGCAGCTGCGCTGGCTGGGTGGCAGTCAGCCGCATACCTGGTCCAGGTCATAGGAACAGGAGTCCACGCGCCGGCGCAGAGCGTTCCACTTCTTCCCCCGGAACAGACGCCAGAGCGAGGACAGGCCGTGGATCTTCAGGCGGTACAGCCTGCCAGATGCACCGCTGTCAGGACGGCCGCACGCCCCCAACCTCTGCATCCCGGGGAAGGGGTAAGCCCACGCCCACCTGGCTCCATAGACGTAGAAGCAGTAGATGTGGAAGGTGAGGAGGGCAACGATGTCGGCGAGGAGGGACAGGGCCACCGTCAGGCCCAGGCAGGCCGAGAGACCCACGTGCCACAGGATGTGCTCCACGAATGGGGACATGAGGTGGATGTAGCCTGGCAAGGTGGGTCGGCCCTCAGGAGGCGCCCGGGCCCCAGCCCTCGGCCTACCGCAGCGGGCCACACACACAGGACGCTGGGGGGCAGAGCTGGAGGTGCAGGGGGTGCAGGGGGTGGGGTCTGGCTGGGCCCCGCCCTCCAGCAAGGGCCGCCTGCCTGCCCACACTCACTGATCCACAGGTGGATGTGGTAGAGGAAGAAGCGGCCCAGCACCTGGTCCAGCGCACGGTTCATCTTGAGCCCGGCAGGGGCGCCCATCAGCCACTGCAGCAGGTGCTGGAGCTCCTCGGCCACGTGCTACAGGGACACGGGGGACACGCTGGGACCGGGCAGCCAGGGTCAGCACTGACATCTCCCCTGGCCCTTTTGTAACGGCCCCCATCCTGGCCAGCCTGGCTCGGCAGGGCACGGGAAGCCCAGGTGTGCGTCCTCCGAGGGCCTGTGCCGCTGCTTGCCAGCGTGGACAGCACACAGGTTTCCCAAGTGCATCCAGCCATGGTATCCCCTTCACGGAGGGCTCCGGGGTCTGAGGAGCCTGGTCTGGAGGGTTCTCTCCACAGGTGTGGGTGACACGGCCTGGGAGGCGACATTTTGGCCCTGGTCCATGGCACACGGTCCCCTGCATGCAGCTACCTGGGCCACAGGACCCACCACAGCCCTTGGCCCCAAACACCTGGACGCACGGAGGCCCGACAGACCCTGACTCAGCTCCAGCCCTGCAGGGGAGTCCGTGGCCGACACCATCCCCTCCAGAGACCGCACCCCAACACAGAGGCTCAGGCCTGCCCTGGCTGGCCACAGGTGAGTGAGACAGTGCCAAGCCCGTCAGGGCCCTGGCAGCAGACTGGAGGGCAGGTCCCCAGAGGGATGACAGAGACCCTCTGCGACCCAAGCACAGAAGTTACAGAATCCACAGAGCAGGGTGGGAAGTTCGAGCTGACTGACAGGCAGCCCTGGACAGGAAGCTTCCATGGCCCTGACTCCGGAGGGCCCCAGAGACCCTGTAACCCCAGCTACTCGGGAGGCTGAGGCACCCCCAAGAACAAGCAGGGAAGCGGGGTCCTGGCTGCCCAGGAAGACAGCCAGCATCCAGAGGCTGTGTCGGCCCGGGAGGCAGACCCTGAGGAAGCCTCAGCCTCCCCACCCAGGCCACAGTGACACTTCGGCCCCCACCTGCCCAGTGGCAAGCCCCTTCCAAGGCTGGGCCAAGGCTCAGCCACAGCAGGACTGGCAGGAAGCAGAAAAGAACATTCTTTATAAATAGAGCTTACTTAATATTTAAAAGCTAAGAGCTCGGCAGCAGGAAGAGACTTTCATTTTTGAATTAAATATTTATATCTCTAAGCTCTTTTGCAAAAGGGCGGTCTAGGACAAAGCAGGCCAGGGCGGGGTGTGGGGGAGCACAGGCAAAGCCACCCACCCCTCCCTCCTGGGCTGGGGCTCCCTGCACCCCCACAGCCCACGTCAGACACAGGTGCCTGCTGCTGCCCCCGGGGGCCTGGCCTGGCCACAGCAGGCCGAGTCCACACCTGCAGCCTACACAAGACACACCCAGCCAGACGGCAGGGAGGGCTCTGTGAAGGCCCAGGGTGGGCCAAAGAGCCAGGACTATGCCCAGCAGGAAGACAAGCTCCTAAGGGAAGAGAGGGGCCCCGGCTCTGAGGGAGGGAGACAGAAGCTGAAGGCCCACAGGCAGCCGGAAATGTGCTAGGTCCGCCGAGGAGGGGCGGCACCTGGCCGGACTCATGGCACAGACCGTCAGGGGAAGGTGGGAGAAGATGGAAGACGGGAGACAAACTGAGCCCCTGGCACTACAGTCAACACTGGGCAGCAAGTCCCAGCGGGGCTGCACCCGGGCAGCTCTGAACAGGGAAAGTTTCATGACCCCAGAGGGTCGGGGAGTGCTGACCGCAGAGAGACACCACGACGCGGGCCCACAGGGAGAGGCGGGATGCCCAAGGCCTCAGCCACAGTGGCTCCCGCACACAGCCCCTTCAGAAGGAAAGGGGGCACCGGCAAGGCCTGCCTGCCCAGTCCCAGCGCCCTTGCAGCTCCCACTCCTGGTCTAGGGGAGGGCCAGGTCTCAGAGCATGCAGAGGGTGGAGCTGGCTCTGGCGTGGGGGCAGCTCTGGTCCGGCAAGGGTCCCCACACCCACCCAGGACACAGGGCTCCACCCCAGTCCACTCACGTCAGCCACAGGGATGAGGGTGTCCGCCAGATGCCCAATGCGGCTCCTCCCATGGAGCCAGGACAGCAGCAGGAGGCCCAGGGCCATGTCCAGCAGCACAGAAGCCACCGTGTTGGCCTTCCTGGAAGGGAGGTCCGGGTGGGTGTGAGGGCGGCTGGCACAGCCTGGGCCACAGAAGGAGGTCTGCCTGGCCAGAGGGAGAAGGGGAAGGGGCCGGAGGGTGGGCTCCCGGCCCCGCAGAAGAGACCAGGGCAGGCCCGCACCTCATCAGCTGGGCAGGGTTCTCTGCCTTCTTCGTGCTGAAGATGAGCCTGAGGTGCTCCAGCCGGTGCCGGAGCTGTTCACAGGTGGAAAGCTTGCTCCCGAGGAAGGACAGGGGCCGCAGCTGGAACACCCTGCACAGGAGCGGAGAGGAGGGATGGTCCCCACTGTGCAGACAACCACAAACACCCAGACCACACTCCAAGCTCAGCAGGGCAGGGGCGGGTGGGTGGGGCCCTCGGCGGCCCGGCGAGGGGGGCCGGGGGTGACCGGCAGTACTCAAAGCGCCCACCACACAATGCACGCGGCTAACACAGAGCCTGGCCTCCTCGCAAGGCGCTGACCCCGGGCCACCTGGCCACCACAGGCTCCCAAAGCCAGCGCCTGCAGCCAGCAGTAGCCCCCACCTGCCCAGGGCCTTGCCTGGCTGACGGGGCCCAGAAGGCTGGGCAGGGGTCTCCTGGGCTGGCCTGGCTTCTCACAAGGTAGAGCACCCCAGGCTTCCAGAGTAAGCTGGATCTAAGGCCTGGGCAACTGAGAGTGACCCACAGCCAGTCCCCACAGGGTGCCTCCACCAGGCAGATGTCTCCGAAGGGTTCCCTGTGTTCTCAGCCACAGCTGGGGGCTGCCCTTGGGCTTACACTGACCCTTGGCCAGCAGCACCTGTGAATGTGGAGAGCAGCAGGGCCTGCAGACCCTCCCCCAGGCACATGGGGCCGGCAAGCAGATGACAGCCCAGAGCTATGGAGGCCAGCAGGCCTGTGTGCCCTCAGGAGCGCCCCTGGGCAGCAGTTACGCATTCTCGTCTGTGCTCACCGTCTGATTTTGCTTTCAGGGACCTGAACCACTGAAGTTCACCCTCCATGCCTCCTGGGAGGGCCCCCGCAATCCCTGAGGCTGCCAGGAGACCCGGCCCTACCCGGGGTGAAGGACAGAAGCCACAGCCACCACCCGACACCCTCTGAGAGGCAAGGGCTGGGAGGGCAGGATGGGGCCAGGTCCAGGCTTCGGGAAGCGGGGAGGGGGCTGGGCCTGGGTAAAGCCCACCTGGGCCTCCATGTCCACTAGAGACAGAGGGATTCGCCAGCGCTCACATGGCCCCACTGTATGCCACCTCTCTGTTCCGGGACACCTACCGGCAGGCGCCGACAGCGGAGACCAGTGATAGCAGGCTAGCCAGCAGCAGGCAGACTGGCCCCGAGGCCCGCTTGGCCAGTTCGGCAAGGATGCTGGCCTCCACGCCCTCCGACTGCCAGTGGCTCAGCCGCACGGGGCCCTCGTCGAACCGGTCGCTGCGGAAGAGCGCCTCGCTGCGTGCCACCGTGTGGAAGACGGCGGCCAAGCCCCCCGTGCTGGTGGGGTCGGCTCCCACCTGGCGGTCGGGCGGGACAGCAGGCGGGTGCAGCTGGGACAGGAGCACCTGGCGCTGGTCATAGAAGATGAGCGTGACCTGGTCCTCACCGGGCGTACCGGGGCCCTGCCGGCGGGTGGCCTCGCAGCTCCAAAACGTGCCGCCTCTCTCCCGGCACAGCCGCAGCCAGGGCTCGTGGGGGAAGACAGCAGCCAGGCCCTCCAGGAAGCGGCCCAGGCTCTCCTCGGGCTCCTGCCGGCAGCAGCACCAGGTGCCCAGCACGGCCACCCCCACCTGGCTGGCCTGCTGCACCTGGGCCAGGAGCTGCTTGACCTGGATGGGGATGAAGGGAAAGTGCACCACCGCCAGGACCACGGCACAGCTCTGCTCCGGCACCCACCGGCCCACCAGCAGCCCGCTGTCGGCGGAGGCGCAGCACGTGGGGAAGAAGGCCTTGAGCACCATGCTGGGAGGCTGGAAGAGAGGGAGAGCTCAGCTCCAGCTGCTGCCGCCCTGCCCTGCCACCGAGGCTGTGACACAGGTGGACGGCCTGCCAGGCTCGGCCACAGGGCTTCCAGTTCCGGGGTGGAGGCCGCAGGGTCCCTTGGCTGACACCTCACGTGGGCCACGCTCCTCCAAGGGGCAGCTGGAGCACAGCCCCCACCTCCACCCCAGGCCCAGCACCCCCCGGCCGCACGCAACACCCCCCCAGGGCTGTTCTCTCCACTTCCAGACAGGCCAGCTCAGGGCACCAGCCTCCTCAGCACCACCTGACCGAGGTGTGGGGCTGAACAGAACTCCAGGCTTCTAATTTGTTTTTAAGAAACCTGATTAGAGAGGTGTTCTTAAAGGTGTAACACACGGAAAAACACAATCTCATTAACAAGGTCACACAAATTAAAATCTTGACAAGCCGTGATTTACTTACTAAACTAGCAAGAAGGAAGATGAAAATGTAAGACAAAGCACTGCTGGGTGAGGAAACAGCCCTCGTGCACACGACGGGCAGCGCCCCACAGGGTCCCTGGCTCCCACGAGCCCCTCCGTGGTGGCAGGAGGGGAGCAGGCTCGGTGCACACAGGCTTCGGCCTCCACTCTGACCTCACTGTGGCGCCTGGGCAGTGCCTGGTACTCCCTGACATGCCCACAGCCACTCCAGAGCAGGCCTCCCCCAGCGGAGCACTTTCCCTCCCAGGATCTGTTTCTCCAACCATGTGGCTGCCTAGAGACGGGGATAGAGGCTCACAGGTCCTGTGCCCTCAGGCTGGACGCGGCAGCCTTTGGGGTGGCCTCTGACTAGGCAGCCACCCGAGACACTGCAGTTCTCAGGCCCTGGGCTCCTCCTCCCGCTTTCTCTCAGGCCCCTGCCAAGCCTCGAAGCCAGCTGGGGTTTCCTCCTTCTCCACGGAAGCCCTCCCCGCCAGGGCCCCACAGGGCAGGAGGACCTTGCTGCAGTGGTGGTGCTGCTGGCCAGCTGGTGGGCCGCGAGTCTTCCTCAGACTTGGAAAGCCCCATCTCGCCTGCACAGAGGATGGGGCGTCCCACCTGAGCAGAAACCCCTCACACCCAAGGGAGGGACACAGCTTGGCCTGAGCCTGGACTGTAGGTCCCAGTACCCACCACGCCCTTAAGGGACGAGGGAACAGAGCAGGACACACACATTGGGGTGGAGTGACTGGGAAGTCCTCTCCTGAAGCTTGGAGGGGCTGTGGAAGAGGCCTCACACAGAAATGCCCGGGGCTTAAGAGGCCAGCGCAGCTGCTCTCCACCCCCGCAGGCAGCCCGAACCAGGGGCTGGAGGGGCTGGCCACTCGAGGCAGAAGGTTCTAACAGGAAAGGACTCTTCTGGGTCTGGCTGCAGAGGCCCCCAGATGCCCACTTCCTCAGTGGCCGGAGAGAGCAGGTGGCAGGTACATGCCTAGAGGCCACATGATGTGGGCACCAAGCTCGTCATGAGAGCAGCTCTGCCCGTGAGGGGCCAGCACTTCTGGCTGAGTGACCACCAGCGGGGACCACCCAGCACAGCCCACCTTTCAGCATCAGCCACCAGGACACACCAGCTCAGCCCAGGGACCCATCACGCCCTGCTGGGAAACAGCTTTGACAGGAACTAAGGAAAACTGCCCTCAGATATATCAGAGAAGAAACACAATCAGCCTAACAGTAAACAGATGTACGGGGGGAGCAGGTTCTGCATTGGGCTCACTTTGGGTAAATTCACCGACTTACACATGTGCTCACGATACCGGCGCTTTCTTTGTCTGTATTCTTTGTGCTTTATCTACAAACTTTACCTTAAGAAAAAAAAAGCAGCAGCTCCTTGTGTCTGCTGAAGGAGCTGGGAGGGCAGTGAGAGAGAACTCAACCTACTACGGGGCAAACGCCCACCGCACTCCCACCTCACCCTCTGGGAGGGACGGCTGCACAAAGCAGCCTGCGCTAGCGGCTGCCGGGATCACACAGCCAGAGGAAGATGAAAGAGCAGCAATCAATAGCAGAGGAGGTTCGGAACCCAAGGAAGGGCGCAGAAGCTCAGGCAATGTGAGCATCTTTAAAGACTGAGACTAAAAAAAAAAAAAACCAACAATAAAGGGCGCCAGGCTAGCCAGAAAAGCTTCCTCTGCTAAGAAGGATCCTGAGTGCTCTTGTGAAACCGTTCCCAGAGCGGGCAGGTAGCGAGGGCCCCAGGACACTCCTCCCCACAAAGCTTAGGGTCAAAACTCGACCACAGAAAGTAGTAAGACTTTCCTCTCTTCCCCTGAATGCGGGAATGGCGGGACCTCAGCCCAGTGAGGACAGGCCAGGGCCATCTCTGACTGGGCCGCCCCTCTCTGCCACTGCTCCACAAGCGCTCAGGAGAATTTGCGTTTCCCAGCCCCTTGTTTGAAAAAAATAACCATGATCCTGGCGCGGTGGCTCACGCCTGTAATCCCAGCACTCTGGGAGGCCAAGGCGGGCGAATCAACTGAGGTCAGGCGTTCCAGACCAGCCAGGATGGGGGTGAAACCCCGTTTCAACTGAAAATACAAAGCTTAGCTGGGTGTGGTGGCAGGCTACAGGTCCCAGCTACTCGGGAGGCTGAAGCAGGAGAATCGCTTGAACCCGGGAGGCAGAGGTTGCAGTGGGCCGGGGTCACACCACTGTACTCCAGCCTGAGTGACAGGGCAAGACTCCCTCTCAAAACGAATACATAGGCCGGGCGCAGTGGCTCACGCCTGTCATCCCACCTCGGGAGGCCGAGGCGGGTGGACCACGAAGTCAGGGGTTCGAGACCAGCCTGGCCAACATGGTGAAACCTCGTCGCTACTAAAAATACAAAACGTTATCCGGGCGTGGTGGCGGGTGCCTGTAACCCCAGCTACTCCGGAGGCTGAGGCAGAGACCTGCTTGAACCCCGAGGCGGAGCTTGCAGGGAGCCGAGATGGCGCCACTGCCCTCCAGCCTGGGCGACAGGGCGAGACTGTCTCAACGAAAACCAAACAGGTGTTCAGCCTGGGCAACGTGGTGAGACCCCGTCTCAGGAAACCCCCCAAAAAAACGTGCTTGCCTTCCTTAGGCCGGGCTTGCCCCTCCCATCTGGGGCGAGCCTGTGATTCCTTCTGTCGCCCTTTCCTGCGACCCGGGACAACTGCGAAGGGCCCAGGGCCCGGCCCGGCCCCCACCCGCCCCCGCCCAAGGTCTGCGGGGGCCCGGGTCGGCGCGGGTCGGAGGCGCAGGGGCCGCCCCACTTCCCGGGGGAGGAGGAGCCGGCAGCCCCGCGGGGGGCGTGCGCGGCCCCCAGCCCGGGCCCGGAGCCGCAGGGGCGCTGCCCGAGGTCCCGCCGCGCCCTCCCACCGCCCTGCTCACCCGCTGCTCCGGGGGCCGCGCGCTCGAGCGGGGGGTCCGGAAAGGGCTGAACCCCGCTGGGCGGGCCCGGGCAGATGACGGCGCCTGCGCCCCCAGCCCCGCCGCGGGGACCCGGGCCCCACTTCCGCCGGCGCCGCACGTTGCCGCGCGACGGTCCGGCCCCCAAAGGCGCCCGGGCTGCCCGCCCGCCCGCCCAGGCCGAGCGTTCCGCGGCGCAGCGCGCCCGCCCGGTCCCCAGGCCTGGAGC